CTATATAGATCTATAAATAGCGTCAAAATATATACCGTAATATTCTAATGAAATGCATTACTGTATTATAATAATATGCGAAAAGCGAAAAGTGTTGGTTACATTGTTACATCACACAATATATTTATTATATTATAATAATATTATGTTGGAATAAATTACCTTTGCATCGTCCTCGGTGCTTGACACGCAACAGCGAGTCGTTAGAGCATCGGACCCGCAGCAAGGTGCATCTACTCGGGTAACTAATGTTGTCGGTGCCGCACACTGGTCTGCTGGTGGCGGCCTTCTTTCTTTCACATCGTTCAAGTTGACCTTTGCAATCTAACTCCTGTAGACACACGTATATATTATAAAATATATGAAATTATGTATTGTCTGTGTGATATATATTATATTATAGTATATAATATCATTGATTATAAGTTATAACTATTTATAACTTATCAAAATATGTACAACTGTATAAGTACCTAATAAATATTATATAATTTACTTTAAACGATTTTTTTTCAATACGATACAGGTGAGTGAAGTAATTTATACTATTTTATTTTCCTATACCTAAATATATATACCTACTAGTGATGGGTCGAACGCTGATTTTTTAAATCGAACCGAACTTGAACCGAACTTTAAATTATTTTTTCGAACCCGAACCGAACCGAACCGTAATATTTACTACCGAACCGAACCGAACCGAACCTAGAATCATTTTAAGTCGAACTCGAACTCGAACTCAATACTTTTTATCATGTACATTGTACCAGCCTACAAATTAAATCAACCACAATTATTAATTAGTATTTAGTAATAAATTACTATTGTATTTAAAATGTTTGTATTACCTACCTATTCTACATTTAAACTTTTAAAGTTTTAAGTTTATGTAATTGTATTTATAATAAATTTAGATGATTTCTTCTTATTTTTTTTTACATAGGTAAATTTATTTTACACAATAAATAATAATAATTTAATAATTAATTATTAAGAAAACAAATAAAATTGAAAATTGAAATATACATAATACATAATATTTATTATTTATTTTTAAAATATAGGTATATAAAATATCATTAATTAATTTATAAATTATCATGTAGAAATACTAATTGTTCTACTGATCCAGGACTAAGTCTCTGTCTCCTCTTGGTAACAATTTGTCCTGCTTTAGAGAACATGCGCTCAGAGCAAACAGACGTGGCAGGAATACCTAGATATTTCATTGCAACTGGTAATAAATTTGGGAATGTAGTTTGGTTAGAGCTCCACCAAGTTAAAGGATTTGATGTTGGAGAAATCAGTGGTAGTTTTAAATATTCCTGTATCTAAAAAAAATATTTTAATTTTAAATTAATCTCATTTCAGTTATCATAAAAATAAATAATTAAGCTCACTTCTCTCAAAACATAATCTATTTGGCCCTCCATATGTTTAATAGTGGCTGATCGTTCATTAAGAATATCCCATAATGAAGATTTACTTGGCTCCAATGTATGTTCTGATTGTTCTGTTGTTTCATTTGTAATTTGTATATTGGATGGTGGTGTTCTAAGAGCTTCAACTTCTATTTTAAGTATTTCCTTTGCTGCTTCTACTTCATGTGGTTCCAACACTTCCAACATAATAATTTTGAATCTTGGATCTATAATTGTAGCCAACATGTATACAGTATTAGTTTTACATACTTGAAATCTTGTAGTTATTGATTTGTGCACACTTCTTGCAAATGATATTCCACTGATTAAATCATTATTTTTGGAAATGAAATTTTTTAATTTGGTTTCAATAGTACATAAGATTGGGTTAACCATAGATAAAGTAGGAATTTTTTCTTGACAAAGTTCCTTGGTGGCTTCAAAAATGGGCTTTAGCACTTCTACATAACCTTCAATTAATTTCCAATCTCTTGGTACAAAACCATTTTTTTTAATATTTTGTAAATCTAATGTTATTGCACTTTTTTGTTCTAGTATACGCTCAAGCATTAAATATATACTGTTCCATCTGATATCGATAGATTGAATAAGTTTATGCTGGGGTAAATTTAATCTTGTTTGGATGTCATACAATCGTTCATATGATTTGGCACTGTGGTTATATACGTGCCATTACAGCTATAACTTTCTATCGCCAATAGTCTAATTATTTCTTAATAACCATTATCAATTTTTATTTATTTTTAAGTTTGAACTATCGTGGCCAATAAGTCTGGTTAGAGACAAATATTTTCAAGTTCGATTTTCGAACAGTAAGAGATGCTTGATAGTTCGGTTCGAATATTTTTCATGCCGAGTTCGAATTTCGAACCGAACCGAACATCAAGGGTTCGGTTCGGTTCGGTTCGAGATTCGAACAGTTCGACCCATCACTAATACCTACAATAAATGTATTTATTTTTTTTTTTTATACATAAAAATAAAAATCAACGTTATTTATGTTCTCGGTTTACTACAAGTTTTCCCCCGTATAATGAATTAATGAAATAATTATACTCTTTATTCTAATTTGTAATGTATTATATCATATTATATATTACATATTATACAATAGGTATACAAATACAATATTATTTGCATGCATATATATTATAGTAATATTATACTATCACATAATAATCACATAAGAACATTAGCTTACGTTTACCTATCGAATATTTATTGATTGAAAATATCAGTATCCTACAATATTATAGTAGAATAACCTGGGGTATAATGGCGCATTGGGCAAAATAATGAACTATTGTGTATAAGTAATTTAATAATTGCTATCTGATCAAACATTTTTGTTATTATGATTATGTTATCATAGCTAAACGTGATAAAACATTTTTTCAGCAGTTGATGATGTTTTGGCGGCAATATGAGGTAAAATATTAATTGTATTCGTCTGATGTAATATTTGAGAAGCATAGAAGTAGTAATGTGTACTATATAACGACAACGTTTGATGTTGCTTTTACATATATTCGTTTAGTACAAGTAGGTGACTAAACGTCAATATTAGTACAATATTAATATGATAACAACTGATTATACTACAATACTGTTTATGCAGAAAATCATATTGAGGTAAAATGGCTTAGTGGGTTTTGGGGTAAGAGTGCGCAGTATTTCTTATACGATAATTGATTACCTACTTTTATAACATTTAATTTTTCTAGATTCAAAATGAATTAATTACATTTATTTATTTATTGATTTATTTAAACTAATAGGTACATTATATCTATACGATGCATTAACAATTAATGATTAAATAATATTATGTAATATTTTATTGAATAATTATACTTAGAACAATTACTTTGACTTAGTAATTATGTATTATGTTAGGAACTATTATATTATGCATGCATATTATATATATTTATTACTTATTATTTGATAAAAATAAAATAGATTTTTATGAATTAATTTAGCATGCGGCCTATTACCCCATTAGATATGCGCACTTTTACCCCAATAATTGGGTAAAAAGATGCATTTGTTATAATTTCTAATTATTCAGAATTGTTTTTATTTGCTGTGGTAAAATCAAAGTTTGACAGGAAAATTGAAATCTACGTAATATTTATGTTAGGAAAACAATATAACAATATTTCTAAAACGTGTATGCTACCATATACCAGCTGTTAAATGTTAGGTGCGCCATTATACCTAGAGATGGGAGCTTGGTAAATTTACCCGGTAAATTTTACTGGTAAGGTAAATTTACGTAAATTTTACCGATATTTTTTTTACCCGGTAAATATTTTTTACCGTTCTAAAAATCGAGTGACCACTTATTTCAAATGTTTTCATGTGAACATTAACACTTCTCTGAGGTTAATGTTATCCGTAGACCGTAGTCGATACGTCAATATAATTAATATAAAATATTACGAGAATTTGGTAAAACCAGTTCAAATTATCACCATTCGTCCATTCCCCGAACGTAGTATACAAAACACAAGTACACTGTACACTATAAATAACTTACCAACCACAGCGACCGTTCACGCTGCGTATACGTATACCATAGACATATTAATAAATGGACTGCGTCCCCCACACACCCCACCTATGTCACCGTGAGACCAACGTTGTTAGAAAGAGATCAAAGATTATTGGCACTCACATTTTGAAAGGTTTACAACATTGAGATTTATAAACTTTACATTATGTACTTATTCAAGTTACAATTATGATTTTTATAGCTAATTTTACACGTATTCAAAAAGCAAAAAACATTAAATGTTCCCTTAAACTTCCAGTAAAAACCAGATGGGGCTCATTCATAAATTGTTTAGAAAGTCTTATAAAAAATAAAAGCACATTACAGAATTTGGCTGTTTCTGATGATATAAATGTAAGCAAATTGAAAAAATATTTAAATTTATTATAAACATCTATATTGTCTATGTTTATTTTTGTTAAGATAATAGAAAAGTTAGATAAAACAGTGAAACGCAAGATATTATCAGACCATATTATTCCATATTATTGTTCCATATTATTGGAACTATGTTGAGAATTTTATCACTCTTGTTCGTCTAATAGTTAATTGGATTACATGCCTATGATACTTTAATGAGTATTGGCACAACATTATAGTCTATAGCTTGTTATCTGGTTGTTGCAACTCTCTCACTTATCAATAGGATCTTCGTGGTAAATATTATTTTTTTTTAAAATAATATTATGCTTAGTCCTTACAGAGTACATACCTCACCTTAAACCCATTAGTTATGACTTATTAGAAATCATATACCTACCTTTTAGTGTATGAAATCAGAAATTATTTTAATATAATACCTACTTAATAAACAATGTTATTTAGAATGAATGTTAGTTGTTACTCCTTAAACATAATAAGATGTTTAAAATAATAAAATATTGATATTAGGTACCAAATTAATGTTGATACTTGAAAGTTTAAATTTAGTTTAGTTAACAGGTAGCTAGTTAAAATTTTATCATAACGCGTAAAGAGCAAGGTTAAAGTTCTAAAACTATTAATTTAATTTAAAATATAAATTTTGTAGTCAAAATTTGACTGTTAGGCACTATCATTTAATAATAGTGCCTAACAGTATTGGGAATAGATAACTAATAATTTATCTAGATAAAGATAAAGATAAACTACAAATATTTTATCTAGATAAAATTAAGATAAATTGTATATAACAATTATAATTACACACAATAGACCAATGATTCTACCATTTTTTTAACAAACATAATTAAATTATGATGTGCCTTGCTAATGGGCAACATACCTAGAGAACTAGTTTAAATAGATATTATACATACCTACATAAGGATAAAATAATAAATCACTGCTATTAGCTGATAAGTAACTTCTTATATTGCATTAATAATACCTACTTCGTGTACTCGTGTGAATTTGGCATTTAATATTTAAAAATAGTACCTACTTATACTCTGTCCCAAAAGAGAATAATTAGTCGGCCGACCGGTTCTTTTCGGTGGCCAACATCCCCCCACCAACTTCCCCGTGTTAACGTGATCACGTGGTTCTCGACGCACCAATCGAATCATTCGTGATGCGCGAAAAGTGATTATTCTCTTTTTTGGGACAGAGTATAGATAATAATACTGAAATAACACAAATACTCCATGTTTATTTTAAACTATAATAGAAATAATATATTTTATACATATTATATTATTTAACGATTGCCGATAAGAATGTGTTACTGACTTATTATGTTAGTGACTAATAAGTAGTAATAACTAATGACTATTGCAGGCAAGTCAAACTCAAAGTATCAAGTGGGCCACTAGAGTAATAACAAGAAAAATAAAATAAAATAAAAATACATACATCAAACAGTTTTATTAAAACCGAAAAGTATCGACTCGAATAATTTATCTAAATATCTAGATAATATATTTGGTTTATCCTAGATATTTTTTTAAGATAATTTCAAACGGTTTATTCGTATTTATCTAGATAAGATAAAGATAATACGGTTTTTTATCTAGATAATCCCAACAGTGGTACTTAATAAGGAATTGTATATCCTTTTCCTACCTTTAATTTTTTCCCGAAAATAACACCATAATAGTAATTTTAACTAGTAATAAAAAATGTATTAGAAGTTTTTGTTGCATACGTTAAACTAACACATTTCGATTTATCACTTGAATAAAACGAACATTTAAATTATTTCAGTGTCTGCGTATAATACTGCAGTATTACAATATAATAGTATATAGCTGCTGCCTGCTACTTACACGACATATTATAACAGCGGGTCTCTGATCAGCGAACTGTGAAAAATAAACCAGTTTTAACACCGTGTTTGTTTCCTTTCATAAATAATGTATAGGTGTTTTATGAATAACTCTATATAAGATGATAATTTTACGATAACTAGTCTCCTCTTAATGATATTTATTGGATAGCCGCCACGACTATACTCGTCTGCAGCACCTGTAGATATATGTATCTAATATAGTATTATGGTGTGTTTTTGTCAGAACTGAAAAGTGTAAGACTTGTCTGACTTGGTATAGGTACCTGCAATTACATATACGATTTCACCAATAAAATTATGAAGCTTACGATACATAAGCTTACTACCGAGTATCTATATATGTGCGTATATATTATATTGTATACATTCATGATTCGTTCAATATATATGGGTGGGGACACTGTAGTAGGTTATATTATACAGTATACAAACCCTGGTTTTAGTGTTTTTAATATTTAATATTCATCATATTTATTTTACAACTATACGTCTATACTTATATACACAATACACTATAACATAGCGCATTACATAAGTATGTACTTAATATTTACCCGTAAAACAACTTTTTCTAAAGTAAAGTTTTAGATATTTATTTAAAATGGGCAGGCGTTTTATTATTATTTATTATCGTGATAACAAATTCTTAATACTTCAGAATTTGAAAATTAGCACATTGAACATAATAATATGGTATCCGTGGTCGATGAAAATACCTAACCT